AATTGGGGAGGAGTATCCCAGTTTATGAGCAACTTGTGGATGTGATAATCGTAAGCACCACAGGAAAGTGCCAAGGATACTCTTATCTTCTCGTAAAGAAATCTAGACTTTCTCCCAGCTCTAGGCTGTTTGGGGGATCAGGCTGGGACATTTGGCAGACACTGCCAGCGTCACTCAGAAGTTTGGCCTTGAATTCTTGCTAGTTTAGAAACGAAATATTTAAACACACGCACCCTAGGAGAGAAATGGCTTTTGGTTGTGAACTGTGGCATTTACATTTACCCTGCAAAGATAATGCTGCTCTAAAGTCAAGGTTTGTTCTACTGAAAAGTTACTCCAGGCAGTTTTGAAAGATTTYGTAAAACATGTGAGTTATGTTTATTCTCTAGCATGTAGACTTGAGGCTGTGCCTGTATCTAATCCTGTGTGTGAAATGGTAAGGAAAAGCCAGTGCACAAGAGGTAAAATACTGTAAAATGTGTCTGGAATCGGCTTTTTCCAAGGAGGGGCACCAGGGTCAAAGGTCTGTGGTAAATTTTTTATTGTCCTTCATGAGCTGCCATTCACAACGGTGCCACCAATGCCCAAAGCTTTGGTCTCAGCCTGGGCCGTGTCCTTCCATTCACCAGTTCACTTCTCCTGAGTTGGAGAGAGAAGGGGACAGTCTGTAGGCGTAAAACTTCTGTCATCTTTCAAGCCAAAGAATATATTTGTTGTTGCTTGAAATCTGTACCAGTTTTAACTCCAAGAAGGTATCTTTAGCKTCTGAAAAAACAAGAAGAAAATCAGATTTCTTCCGTTCAAAGTTAATTTGTTTAATATAAACGTAAGAAATAAAACCCAAGATGTTAGTGTGTCCAAAACTGGATGCATCAACRTTCTGTGTTTTCAAAGTGGGAAAGAATTTGTTTGAAAGCAAAGGTGAGATACCTCAAATAAGGGTGTCTCTAGGTCAGCTTTTAAACTCATAATTATTCCATGTTCCAAAGTCCATGGAAAGCATCTGCTGGCTTTAATAGGTGTTCTTTCAAGAGATGTAGAAGTAGCAGACACAGAACAGACATGACCCACCCTGGCGATGCTGTAAAAGGATATGCTGGAAATACTRTCAAACACCAGAGGAGGCAGCAGTACAGAAGTCTCGTGAAGTTATCTTTTTTTCTTGTTTTGCTGTGTGAGCTTTGACCCATTACWTCTTTGTGGACCTGGTTGAGGAAAAAAGAGGTTTTTCCATATCTCAGTAGGATTCAAGGGAAAAAACCTGAAGGTAAGAAAGATTTCTGTCTGAGGTAGAGAGGCACAGAGAAATTAATTTTAAATTCTGGAGTACTGGTGGAATGAATTTTGAAATAATTTCCTACTTTTATTTTAATGTGTGACTGTTTCAAATTTATGTTAATCTATGATGATTTTCGGTTTCTGAACAAAACACCTTTCTGAACAACAGCAAAAATACCCATTTTTTTTCCTTACAAGAGTGTTGAGGAGGGGTACTCTGACAGTTAGGGAACTTTCCCCAACATATTTTCCAAATATCAAAAAGTTCTTTAAACTAGCCCAGTTCRTTTTGAGAAGTCAGCACTTTTAAAAAGGGAGAGGAAAGAGGAGTGTTAGTGATAAATGTTCCCAAAGCTCTCCATCTCTGTGTCTGAGAAATGGATCCTGCCTTCAGTCACTTCTCTGGGCACAGTCCCTGCCGAAGGAGTTGTGTGTGGTTTTTCTTTTGGAACATCACTGGAACCTCAGGCAGCAGAGGACGTTGCTTATGTGCCCCAGGGGCTGTCAGTCAGCCTGTGTTGRACACCTTGCTGTGTACAGCTACACAAATGCTGACCAGTGCTGCTGCCTGGTGCCATTTAGCATTTGTGCTCATTGTACTCAGACCAGGAGATTCAGGTCAAGCAAACTTTATTATATAGAGCGATCCCTGTGGTGTTCATCTGCTTTTGAATAATAATTTTGAAAATATTCCCTCTTTCTAAGTGCGCTAGTGAGCGTTTCTTCACGTGCTTAAACTCCTTTTCCGTTTCCCAGACAATTCTGTTCCCAGGCACCTTGGGCAGGCTGTCATTAAGAAGAGAGGAATTGTTCATCCATAGCACGATTTTAGGTCACAGCTTTCCGTGGCAGCCTGCAAGACCTAAGAGGYTTTTGTGTAAAGCATGAGCCCAACCTATTGGATCTGCTATCAAACATTTCAGATAGCCCGCAGTACTTRGGGGATCTAAATTAGAGTGGACACTAACGCAATGCATGTTGCTGGTTTTGGGCTGGAGAATTCCCAGGCGAGCTTGAAAACCTGACAGCTTCCTGCACAGTTTTACACGGGGAAAAAATGACATACCTGTGTGCAGCAGGGAGGGGTGCCCACCTCGTCTGTGCTGCTAAAAYCCAGCTTCCTGTTGGACATCAGGTCGTCTTCCCTCTGCAAATTAATGGGAACCAATGGCTGATCCAGCATCGTGGGCATAAATCATGTGAAGGAACAGCGAGAAATGAGTACAAGGCTTTTCTTTCTATTTAGTAATTTATCAAGGGAAGTGGCACATTAATAAACAGATCTCCCTTGAGATGGGGGAGTAACAGAGATAAATATGACTGTCAAATCTGGCCTGCTTCCTTCTGTTAGAGAAGGAGGAGACTGTGGGAATGCAAATGCAGGAAACAATATCTATATCTGGAAAGACGCATATTATTTGTAGGACAGAAACACTGACAACTCATCTGAGAAGGGGCCYCATTGCACTTGGTGCAGTATGTACAGAATAAAATACAAGCCCTGTCTAAAGGAACTCATCTAAATAGATGGCATTGGGAAATAGGGACACARAAAGAAGCAGCAACTTGCTCAAGGAAGTGTGGCTGGGGAGGGCTGGGAGCAGGACCCAGGTCTTTCCAGGTGCATCTGTTGAATCAAGATTCTTTATRGCCAGAGGACCGTTAGGATCTAGACCAAGCAACCTTCGTGTGCTTTGGTCCAGAGCTCTGGCAGGGCTCAGGTTTTAGGCACCAGATGTGCAGTTTGGGAATTCCACATGTCAGCCTTTCAGGCCAGCCTTTGCTGAGGGAAGTTCATTTGCTCCATTTGCTTTTGTCCACAGTGCCTCTGCAAAGTGGCTTCTTTTCCAAAGGGAAGCACCACTCAGGGCACTTCTGCTTCTTCCAGCTGCAAGCATTAGGGAAGTTTGAGCCTAATCCCTCCAAATCGTGGGACAGTTTTAACACTCAAGGTAGTTTTTATAGACTGCTGCCCTTTCTGTTTGCTGCCTGATCTTTGAGTGATGTTTTCTAGAATCTCTCTGCCCTGTGAGGCTGCACAATGTAGTTACGCAAAATACTCTAAGAATGTGTTCAACATAAATGCAACAATCTGATTTTTAGGAGAAATGCCCAATATTGTCAGTATTTCAATGAAGGCATTGCATCTAGCAGCTCTTGAAGCTTCTTAGGTGTAGAACAAAAGTCACAAGAGTGCTTGGTTCAAGTACCAGCTTAGCCTTGGATTTCTAGTGGGATGTTGGTCAAGTCATTTATCTTGTGCAATAAGGGTAATTATGGGGACTAAGAGGATTGTGATACTAAACCCCATCGATTACACAGCACTCAGGCACGGTAATGACAGAGCCACTCTGGTGCACAGGCAAGTCATGTGGAGACTGGGATGCTGCAACCCAGCCACTGGTCTCAGGGAAATGTTGACACAGACATCTGAGCCAACACAAATCAAGGATTGCTTTACCACACCAGCAGGATGTATTTTACCTCCTTCTACATGCCGTTCACCCTCTCACAAACCAGCAGTGTCATCAGGACAGGAAGTTCACGCTCTTGCAAAATGCCWGGCTTGGATTTGGTGATATGCAATGAGAATCTGTGCCTCCAACCAGCCGGAGGAAGACGGTTCATATTGCCTGCCTGGGCAGTTTAGTGTTTTATTCACAGTATTTAGTAGGATGTACCCATAGGATGCTTTCTGAGGAGATCACCACTGGAAAAGTCAGGTGGTGATACATTGCTGTGCTCATCGAGAGGAGCTGGAACAGCTGAGCCCTCCTGCACCCCTGGGTGGATGGCAGGGATTACCAGCCAGGGCCCATTGCCAAGTGCTACATTTTACCCTTAATATTTTTTTTTTATAAATACACAATCCAAACACTGCTTGCTTTGGAGGGGTGAGTCATTCCAGGCAGGTTTTGGGTCCCCCTTGTACTGGGGAATGTTGTGATATGGCCCATCTGCAGCTCCTGTGTGCCACCCCCGAGATCTGCAGGTGGGTCAGGCCTGGGCAGAGTTTCCTTTGGGTGAAGTCAGTCGTTCCAGTTAGCAGTGCCGAAACACTGAGGGATGCCAAACTTGTACAGTAGTAACCTGTCATGTATTGCACATCCATAAATGGGCCTGGCAGGGTTGGAAACTACTTCATGCCTGAACGATTGACAATTGCTAATAGGGTCCAGGCACTGGCAGGTCCCCTTGRAGGGGAAGAGCTTGAACTTTGTGCCTGAGCTGCCAAATTGGTTTTCTTAAAACTCTTAATTTACTTTCAGGGTTTGTGGAGCCTCGCCCTCTTCATTAATTGGATGGTCAGCATTGTGCTCATGCTCGTTGGGTTTCCGTTCTCCCGCACRCAGGCACACACTCACCATTTGCAATGGTTGCCCCAGCTTGGACGTGAGGCTCTCCTGGCCTGCTGCTCCTGACACCGAGTCAGCGGGCACGGCTGTGCTCATGGAAACTGTGCAGGGCCTTCTCCCTTTTAAGTTAATTTAGTGCCTATTAAATGGGATGATGGGCAGGATTCTGTGTTCCCTGAAGACAGCGAAGCAAGTGGGCGCTCATGGTGCTGCCTGGCCCAGAAGAGGAAACCTCCCATCAAAGAGCTCCTGGCTCCTGAACATCTTGCAGCAGTCATGAGTGCAGCAGTTCTCAGCACTTCCAGCCTGCCTGCAGGAAGGGAGCAGCCCACTGGTTTTGTCTGATAAAGTCTCTCTTTCCTACAGTGTCCCGGTTTTCGAGCCCGCGGGTGACTCCGAGATTGAGCCGAAAACGAGCCCTGTCTATCTCCCCGCTCTCCGATGCCAGCATTGATCTCCAGACAATGATCAGGACCTCCCCAAACTCTCTTGTGGCATATATCAACAACTCCAGAAGCAGCTCAGCGGCGAGTGGCTCCTATGGCCATTTATCTGCTGGGACGATCAGGTAACGCTCTGGGATCAGCCACATTCAGCTGAGGAACTATCCCCACAAAAGAAGGGATGATCCTCCAGAAAGGGAGACCTTCCCTTCCCTGCTACCTCTGCTTTTGTGCATCAGGGCTGTGTAGTGCAGTAAATTAAAGCCCACATGTGATTTTGCATGTGGAAGGGTGGAGGGTATTTTGTGGCATGTGGGGTGGGGTTTTTTTGTCTGGATTGGGGTTGTTGGCTACCACGTTTCCAGTAATTACAGTGTGATCATGCCTCCCTGCAAGCAGAAACAGATAATAAATTTATCTTTAAAAAATGCTCATTGTGAGCTGTTGGACTGGTTAAGAAACACTCTGATTTAAGAGATTGCCCCAAAGTATTCTCCAAATTATTGGCCCACATTCTTAGAAAAAATGTTGCCTGGGTGGATAGAAGAGCCTAATTTTAAAAGCATATTTAAACCAAATCTAAACCCATGAGTAAAGTTTTGTTCAAATCTTAATTAAAAAGCACTTACATTAGGCAGCTGACTGTTGTCAATTCCTACTGTGATTGCTTCACCCAAGTTTCACAATGTTATTATTCTTTTTATTACTTAACTGTTAAAAATGTTAGATCTAATTAACACTGATGTTGCAAAGCAAGGGGTTATAAAGATTATGCACGCTTAAAACTTGCGGGGGGAAAACAGAGATATTGTTATTAGTAAGTGTAGCATTAATTATGTAAGTTACTTTATCCAGCAGCCTAATTTATAAATTGACTGTAAAATCAAGCATAAGGCTGACTTAAACAAACTGCAACTTCTTATCTGGTAGTAATATTTTTTCTAGTCTTTTTACATGTTGTCATTAGCTGCACATACCTGTAGCATCTCAGATTTTAAAGAGTAATTTTAATAAATCAGTAGAGTCTGGGACTGACCTAATGGTCAACTTTGAGCCTCCAAGGGAATAATCAACTAGTAATGAAGAATTTGAAACCCTTCTCGGTGTTCTAAAAATATATCCTAAATGTCAGGATTTGTAAAATGGGTTACATGTATAACAGGATAACTGCAAGCAATTTGAAAATACTTTTTGTTATTATTTTAACAGCGTCTTTGGGGCAGGAATTAAATTTTCTCTAAAAAATTGGTAATTAAGCATGTTTCTAATTATGGCCCCATTCTCTGAGCATTCACACTTTGGGCAATTTTAGTGGTATGAGGAAAAATACCATGAGGGTAAAGGTTCAGGGCAGCCTCTTCTTGAAGGTGGTAAATAATCCATTTTTGGGCTGAGTGTTTATGGTTCGTGCATCGCACGTCTAGAGCATCTCCTGTGCTTCTCTATCTCTGCCCATTGGACTTGCCCCTGGGAGTGAACCCCTTTTTTCCAAAAGCAGAGCTCTGTTTTTACTGCTCTCCAACGCTCTCCATCTTGTCTSGGACCTGTTGCCCCAGTTATCGCCCAAGCAGCCAGGGGCGAGTTGTGTTCTGGTCACTGCTGACCTAGATTGGAGATGAACCAGTGACCTACATAGGAARGGTGACAGGCTTCAGCAGTCCCCTGAGACAGCACTCCCCTCACCTGAATGCAGAGTAAACTGCATGGTTTTGGACTATGTTAAGTGGATACTTATTCATCCCTGCTGTAATCTGTGCCAGGTGAGCCAGGTGATGCTTGTTTTTCATATCCAGGTTAGCATAACCCCAAAGCTGCAAGTCTGCAAAAGAGGTCTGCCTGGGAAAACCCAGGAGCCTTAGGGGGTGCAGAGCCAAATGTGCCCAAATCCCATCATCTTCTGTMCTCCCTGCTAATGGCTTTTGTTGTTTTTTTTTGTATATTGGAAGCAAAGACATCACAGTCAGTCTAATGTTTGGGTCAAAAGGATTCACAAGTTTGCTGAAGCATGCATGAGACAGATCGTGACTTTGCAGTAATGCAGGCAGTCAGGCTTATTCCAGCATTGATGGCATCTAGCTGGGGCATTTCAGCCTGTCTGCTGGAGTTTGCAGGAAGCCTAACTTCAATCAGTCACTTCAATAGCTAATGCAATAAATATTGTTTAAAATAACTCCTCATCATTTCTCTTTCTCCTGTTGCTGCAGTCCAGCRTTCAGTTTCCCCCACCCGCTTAACCCCGTGACGTACCAGCAGATCCTGACRCAGCAAAGGGGCCTGAGCTCAGCCTTTGGACACACTCCTCCCCTGATCCAGCCGTCCCCAACCTTCCCCCCRCGGCAGCACATGGCAGTCATCTCCGTCAACCCATCGCCAGCACAGAGCATTAGCAACAGCAACTGCATCTCCGACTCCAGCCAGGTAGGGACAGCCATCCCGCCTGGCACACATGGAAATGGAGGCACAGTCTCTGTGGGATGAGGGCTTCCCTTCATGGTGGCTGTGGGGCTTTTAATTTAATTTAATTCCCGTTTTACTCATGCTATCCCTTTACATTGCTCTTCCTTTTTCCTGGCAAGTATTTCTGAATTAGTCACGGGCAAATTTTGCAGCCATCTCCCTTCCTTGCACCTAGCCATGCAGAAACCAAAGGCCATCAGAGTACTGAACATGATAGGCAAGGTCATCCCAAGCAGRAAGACTCCTTGAATATGTTATATCCTATTGAAATCGGGGGAAATCATTTGCTGTAGTGTTTTGCTAAATAAGCACCTGTGAACCAAGCTTCTTCAGTACCTTCACCTATCCCTCCTTACTTTTTTGTACTCATGTGAGCCATGATGATGATCTTAATTTTTAACATGTAGATGCATCCTATCTAGGGCCTCATCACATTTTACTTACTCTTCTTTCTTTTTCAGTTCATTCTCTCTTCAGTGTATCCCTGCTGTTGATTTTTAATACTAAATTTGCGAAACCAGCGGTCACATTTTGAAAACTAGGAGTGAGATCTCACACCTTAAATAYATCTTTAAATACCTATGAGCTCACTCAGGCACATATATGTGTGCACAAGCCCTCCACATGCCCTGAATTAGTGAATATGCCTACACATTCTTAATCATTTTTCTTTCCCACTTACATTCCTCCAAAGTGTAAATTTCAGTGGCTTTTCTCCCCAAAGACTTCTTTCACCGTATGTCACACCCATTTCAAATTGTTGTTTTAGTTGTATCCTACTGAACTTTYAAGACTGGTTTATTGTTTTAGGGTTTCTCATGGCTGCTGCACTGCAAACTCTGTTTGTTGTTGCAGGTTATTTGATTGATTGGTTTTGTTTTCTTCTTACAAACTGGCTACCAAAATAGTGTGGCTGGCAGGACTTCTGCCTCTGTTTAATAATTTGCAGGACCAATCTTGAGCAGTTAGCAAGCGTATTTAAAATGTTAATGTTCCAATTTTATGCACRTACAATGGGATGTTTTTTCTCCTGAAGCTGTTCTCATTTTTTAGGAGCTTCTCAAAATACACACATAGTCTTTCATGGATACAGCACGCCAGAGCCCTCAGATGTAACCAGAGCCCCCTGCTCCCCCCAGGAATGCATTTTCTCAACAAATCATTTCATCACATTGAGAAATAAAACTGTGGCTTGGGTGAGCGTTTTGTAAAGCTTTGATGGCTATGCCATGGACTGGATCTCTCTGAAACAGGGCAGCAGTGGCGAGGCCAAGCTGGCTGGTGAGCCTGCTGCCCTTGATTCTTCTTCTGTCTCTGCCATCCCTGTGCCTTGTACAAACCCATATGGGCTGGTTTTCATATGACCCCAGGCCAGCAGGCCTGAATCCTGGTGTCCCCTGCCACTCCTGAAGCTCAGCCCCGACTGATTTAAAGTTAATGTTTAATGAGGAGGTGGGCCACTGTCTGTCTGTCATCACAAACCCCGGTGCCATTTCTTGCCTGGTTTTCTTTCCTAGAGCAAGCAGAGCAGTGAGTCGGCCGTGAGCAGCACCGTCAACCCAGTCATTAACAAGCGCAGCAAAGTCAAGACTGAAGTTGAGGGCTTGCCCCCAGTGTCCCCAAACACACAGGTAACCTTTCTGGTGCGAGACATGGTGTGGGGCCAAGGCAGCGAGCTGCTGGGTCTCACCTTTKGGAATGGGACAAGGCAGCAAAATCTGCCAGGCAGGCAGGGGTCTCCTGGAGCACAAAGCCCAGGAAGGCACAGGGCAGAGCTGCCAGTGACTGAATTAAGCATTCCATGGGTACTTGGGATTCAGCTTGCTGTTGCTGTGCTTGGATAGCAAAAACAAAAGGAGAGAGCAAATATATCAAGTGTAATAATGTAAAAATGATGTCTGAGTTTTCTGTGCTGCAAAGCAAGCAGCGTTAGTGTCTCAGAATACACATAGATGATGAGGGAAGCTTGCATGTAGGTAGAAAGCTTGCAAAAAAAGGACGCCTTCTTGATTCAACAAGGAATTGCTCCTAGAAACATCCTTTACACTGGTGACACAACATTTGACACCAAGAAAGGCCCAGAGGCCTCTGCTTTCTTTCTGGAGCTCTGTGATTGCAAACTGTTTAATGGCTGACAGTATCCATCTGACCGTCCTTTATCACAACTGTAAACTATCAGGAGTGCTCTGGGCACTTCATTTTCATGAAATATTAGGCCGTGTTATTGTCAAGCGAATGGAAGAGTTGATGACAAATTTCTCCTCCTGCCCTGGTTCAGGAGCAGGTCTCAGCATGATGCATGGGGACAGCAACGTGTGCAGTCATCAGGGGGCTGGTAAAATTGATGAAGATAGCATATCGGGGAAAGATAAACATGCTGTAGTCAGCACGATTAGGGCAAAGAGGCACMTCTCTGGAGCTTTGAGTTTAGGAGTGCATCTACACACTGCTGCAAAGCCACATGCCCCGAAAATCCAATCTGGGCACCGCCTGGGCTAATAGGGCAATGTGTTTATTTCTAGCAGCAAATGAAAAAATGTTTGAAAGCCATCAGTTGCTCTCTCAAAGGCTGTGTAGCAGAGGAGCTGTGGGACAGRCAGCTGCTTGCTCAATGGCTCATCCTCCGTGCGCTGCTCCACGCAAAGCCGTGTGCCCCCAGCTTGAGAGTGCTTGGATAGCACCAGCCTGGCTCACCCCTGCAGCCCCGCTCCAGGGTTTATCACCTGGGGCTCAAAACCACTGAAATTAGCACTGAAAGAAGTGGGGGAGTAGTTTAAAGTGGAGCAATGAGATTTGATTAGAATAGCAAGGTGAAATTAGGAGTAGGAAAATACACGCCGATCATCTAATAGTTCCTAATGAGGTGGTGTGTGAAGTAATGCCCCAAGGGAAATGCAGGTTCCACATCTTGCAGTGTTTCAGTATTGACTGGGAAATCACTAGAGGGTACCATGTGAGAGACAGCCCATTCTTGGAAAGGAGAACAGGTTTAAAAAAACTGAATGTAGTGGGTGTCTCCTTTGGTCTAAGCAAGAGGAATTAATTAAATTTAGAAATGCCTTTTCTGCAGAAGACTGTGCTGAAAAGTTGTGTTACAGTCAGTTAGTAATTGACTGATTCAATTTTTGCTGACTATAAAGTTCATCCATCCCCAAAAATGTATGTGTTTTGTTTTGGAAATGCTGCATTTGAAACACCTCACGTGAGTTGTGGTTTGGGTGTTTGGAATCCTTGGCCAGACAGTTTCTCCCATGATGGTTTGTGCTATGAAAAATGCAATCAGACAAGATTTATGGGACACAGTGAAGTACCAGGCATGAGGGACCCGAGTTACCGAACTTCTACAATGCCACAAGAGCTCCAGTACAGATTAGCATTGAACTACATAGAAACAAAACAAGTCAGTCCTCTCCTACAAATTAAATTGTTACCATTCCATTTTTCCAGCAGAAAAGTATCAAAATTTTGGCAAGATTTTTAACAGAATATTACAGTTGTCCGGGGACTGCACTTTCCATGGAGAAAAGCATTAAAAAAAAAATTAGTGTTTATAGCTCAACCAAATAGGAATTGCGGGAAAAAGAAGCTGCTGTTTGAACTTTCTCAGACTATTGCTTTGGGCTCTGATATAGTTTGAATCTCCAGAAGTCTTTCTGTAAATTACTACAGTTTCCTGTCCCAAGAGCCACCTTGCAATATCTTTTTTTTTTTTTAAATTAAGAGCTCATTAAAACAAATCTCTTCCTTTCCGTATCTAAACTTTTGAGTTGAAAAGTCACTGCTGGCATGTATGTCATGAGCTAGTTAATGAAAATTGTTGAACTTTGGTACAGCACATCTCACTTTCCAAGCTATATAATGCCACTTAGTCATTAATCATTGCAGCTCCCCAGTAGCCATCAGAAAGGTGTTGGTGGGGAAGGAGGTGTCAGCCAGATCAGTGTGTTCGGGGAGCCCAGAGACAGTTTGAGTTTGTGTCTACACACATGGGCCCAGCTGGAGCATCAGATTGTGMGGGACAGTGTGCTGTGGTCAGTGTCCCCAGGTGCTCCTGCTCTGAAGGTGTCCTGGGGCAGGATACTTTGTGCTAGGCAGCAGTAGTAATTGGGAGGACAGGAATGAAGGKGGTCAAAACCCACAGGGTTTTGTCTTGCCGAATTCTCAAGCCAATACTGGCTGTTGATAGCCTTGTCTGCAGTGCAGGTGTCTGATGCATGCAGAGCTGACCTTACTCGGAGTTGTACTAATTATKTTGTATGTTACACTATTGTATAGTWGCCCATGCTTTAATCCTCATARCAGCCATATCAAAAATCTCCTGTGCTTCGTTTAGCACTGAAGGGCTGGCTAGACAGAGAAGTTARGGAGAGAGCTCACAGTGTGCCCAGAATTAAAGTAACTCATTTATGGGTCCAGGGTCCTATGAGCTCTGTTCTGCAAACTACTCTTCACTGGGTCTTACTCAAGCTTTCCAAATKCCCGTCTGAGAAAAGTGCTTTGAGAGCTCATCACTTTGTCCCTGTAGAGCATCTTGCAGGCATAAATCTTTGGGTAAGGGTTAGGTATCATTTCCTCATCTACTGAAAGATTCAGAGGACAGGAACCCCTCTCCAGCCCTCGGTGAGTGTGGTAACCACTAGGCTCTGGCTGCTTGGTGGTTTCTTCATGCTCATGTTTCTCCACTCTGCCCAGAACAGTTGTTTTGCTCCAGCAAAGAGCACAACCAAAGGTCAGAAGCCAGCTTTTTCCTTTCTCCAGCCATTCCTGGAACTGCCCACAGCCCAGCTGAATCCAGGCACTGCTGCAACAGTGGCTTTGGGGTGTTTCATGTCTTGTTGTTAACTCTGATCCACTTCTGCCAAAAYTCTGTAGCTCTTTATTTCACACTAATCACGGTTGTTATGTAGCCACAACGAGCATGGTTTTGTGATCAGTTGATACTTGCCCTGTAATCTATGAGTGATGGAGGAATTCAGATGAAAGAAGTTCACCTTATACAACGTGCCGTTATGTGTTGCAGGAGCATCTGACAGACCTGAAAGAAGATCTTGATAAGGATGAATGTAAACAGGAGCCCGAGGTTATTTATGAGACTAACTGTCACTGGGAAGGGTGCACAAAGGAATATGACACTCAAGAGCAGCTCGTCCATGTGAGTAATGGTTGGGAGGAAACCCCAGCGATAAATTTGGGTTTCTGTGCACTTGTCCTCATTTTTTATCACTAGCTGCTGTACAGCCAGAGCTCACCCTGGGAGCTACTAAAGGTGCAAATCAGAGATACGGTGTGTAAACACTGCCAAAGCAGGTCGCTGCTCCCCGAGGAGTTGAGCTGAAAGAAGCCTCTCGTAGATTATGTGATATTGCTCCCTTCTCAGCTGCTGAGGCTGCACTTTCAGTCTCCCTTGTGCATGGCCCAATGACAGAAGGCTCAGTGCAGAGGGCCTGATCAGAAAATGGGGAAGGGGCTGAGCCCTTTCCTCCTCACTGGCAATATTCACTGAGCCTTCCCATGGAGCTACACCAGCTCTGGGTCAGGGATCATCCCTACTGTTCTCAGACCTAGTCCAGGCTGGAAAAGCCTTTTATGCTGCTCTTAATGAGCTGTGGAGCCGTGTCACTTCGAGGCTGTTGACCTGCTCAGCAAATCCCTCCCACAGAAACTGAGCACTTCCAGAGTTTGGAGTCTGAAATACAGAAAGTGGGTTGATTTTCTAAAACTTGGGAAACAGGGCTTCCATAATCACAGTGATGTTCCCAAACCAGTGTCAAAACTGCTCTCTGAAGGATCCTCAAACCAAGTCATTAATCAGATTTTCAGTTCTAATTAATTCCAAGAACCTTTTGTATGCTTTGCTTCATCTGGGTATCCACCGTTTGGTTTCCTTCAGCTTCTGGGGTCGACAAATCCCWCATACTCAGGGAAGTGCCTGTGAAATCAGACATGATATGTGTCTAAGCCCCATCCTGCCCCCAGCCCTTATTTTGGGTCTGTGRTGTGAGCCCCATTTGTTTGAAGCCAGCCCATATCTGCTGGGAATTCACCAGCACAGCAAYCCTGATGTTTGCAGCAGAGTTTTGGATTGAGCAAATTTTGCAACAGGGGCTGCTACCTTCTCCTTTTCCTATAGCCTTTTGTTGTTTGTCTCAGCTGGGCTCCCAGCCTGCTGGGGCCACCCATATTCAATGCACATGTAGCCCTGTTCTCAAGGGCTTGTGCCTGCTGTCATAATATTTTAATATTATCTTCATTTTAGGTATGTTTAGATGCCCCCAAATRGGTATCAGTCACCATTTACCCAGGTTCTGCACACAAACATTATCCAGAGGGACTGCACTCTAAATTATAATTTTGGGCACGTGCTCTTCTTCCATCTAAGGCTAATGCCTGCCCACCTCTGCCAGAAGCCACTGGTTCAGTGCATCAAGTCCTTGAGTACAGACAGATTTGGGAATGGTTTTCAAGGCCAGTTGAGTGATAAGATGCTTAATGGGTTGCACATTGCATGCCATGGGGTGTTGCTTTACTGGGGTTAAAMCACAGCATGCTTGTCAGATGGGCTGGGCTCACATTTGTCCTGCAGTTTTTRTGTGTTTCCCTCTCAGATGTAAGAAAAACTAACCCTGCCCAGAGCAAAGTGCAGAGCACCAGGCAGGAAAAAAAAATTAAAAAAAAAAATTAAATGAAATATCCCAAGATTTGCCTAAATTTGGAAAGTTACAAAAAAGAATCTTCTGCACTGTGATTRCTAGCAACATGGGGTTGTGGATTTGGGATGCCCAAAATACACGTGCAAATGAAACACAGATTGTCACCTCGTCATGCATGGAAAAACTCTAGTTTGTGTGCAGAGCAGAGTACCTGGGTGAGCAGAGTTCCCCTTACACAGTGTGCTTGTGGGAGAAGTGCATGTCAACAGGGAGCAGCAGGAGCGATGACATATTTTTGCAAGCACCACTGCTGCTCCAAGCCTYAAAGGTCACACTCAATTTGAGAGAAGCCCAAGCAATGCCTTGAGCCAGGTAGGGGCAAAGGAGCTATGCAACTCCTCCCACACCGTGTGATGAGGACCAGATGTTGCCCAGACAGGGAGTGAACAGTCCTGAATGGGGTCCACAGTTCCTGTTCCATGAGTGTTCTTCTTGGGCTCAAACAAGACCAAACGGGCAGACTTGTGCTCTCCCACACTCGCAGCATTGCTGTGTGTAGTCTTGGTTGCAAGTTAGACTCCCACACAAACCTGGAAACACATCTCCCAGTCTGGTCTGGACAGGGTTTAGCATGTCCATGGGCCTCCAGGGAGGTTCATCAGATTTCCACTGTCTGAGGCTAAAATCTCACACCARTGCYRTGCTGTCAAACCAGAACCGTAGGCMGGAGAACTCTAAACCCACACGAAACCTCTCCCAAAGCCAACCTCCCCAGCTCTCCCAGCACAGGGCTTTGGCTCTCAGTGCTTGTCTGTGGTGCCTGAGAGACCACTGAGCCCCACAYACCTCCTCTTGTGCCTGGGTAGAACTGGGACCCCAGTCAGCAGATCCTCAACCCCAGCATTGGACTGCAGCGCACAGAACACTGAGGCTGGGTTTGGCCAGGACTCTGAAGGCTGATGAATGTGTTTTCGTGTATTTTCGTGTCCTCGTGCTGCCTCACTGTCCCGAGAGAGTCTCATCCCAAGCTKCAACATGTGTGCCTGGCCTTGGCCGGGGGGACGAAGGCGGGGGCTGGAAAAAATCTCAGCACAAAAAAAGCCAAAACCCAAAACCAAAGTGGTTTATTTTAGGATTTCCTGTCAGTGAATGTCTTCTGAAAACACAGGAGCGAGGACAGGCATTATTTTTGGCAATGAGACCCCATTCAGAGAGACAAGGCCGCCGCGGGAACGGCGCTGCCGACGGGCTGGCCTCGGGCTCTGTTTATTTTCAGCAGGGCTTCATCTGCCCTGCGCTGGGAAAAAGCAACCCTCTTCTTCCTAMCAGGGTGGATGAAGGCACCCTTCTGGGTCTGGCTTTTCAACACCCCAGTGCAGRATTTCGTAGACCAGAGTAATTAGCAGTAATTGAGCTCTCCCTGGCGCATAGCTCACAGATGCTGTCATTTCCTGCCAGCCACCAGGCTGGACGGCAGGTGGATGTCATGGGGCCGGCATAYGGGCTGGTGTGCAGGCAGGCTCAGAAACACAGGATCATTTAGKTTGGAAAAAACCTTTAAGATCATTGAATCCAACCRAGGTTTATCTCCTCCTGCCCACCATCCTCCAGGAGTGCCCCCAGAATGGGTCTCAACTGCGTAATGCAGCACAGGAGGGTTCAGCAGAGACAAAAATTACTTTGTGATCCCCCTCAAGGGTGGCATCAAGCAGCTGGGGGCACACTGACAGGGCTTCCTTGTCCCTGGCACCATGGGTTCCCGTTACTTTTGAAAAGCTCCCATTTTCAGCTGCTTTGGACCCCATGTGCTGGGTGCTGCCCACCTTCCTGTGCAGGACACACCAGAGCACAGGCTGGATGCCGTGTCTCTGGTGTTATCTGTGCACCTGGCACCCCGGTGCTCTGGTGCCTGACAGTCCCTGGGGAGGGAACATTTGGCTCTGGAGCACCGCACGTGATTCGCTGGCATCAGCTCTTCCAGGAGTGACCTGCTTTCCTTTGTCTCCTCCCAGCACATCAACAAYGATCACATCCACGGGGAGAAGAAGGAGTTTGTGTGCCGCTGGCAGGACTGCACRCGGGAGCAGAAGCCCTTCAAGGCTCAGTACATGTTGGTGGTGCACATGCGAAGGCACACGGGGGAGAAGCCGCACAAGTGCACGGTGAGCTGGCAGGGACACGCGGTGCATCTCGCTTGGCAAGAGGGGCTGGGCTGGGGTGGTCAAACACAAACACAAAAATGTGTTTGCAGACACGGGCATGGCTTCAAGCAGGACTCTACCAGGGCAGCCACTGGCAGCAGCTCAGAGCCAGTCCAGCCTTCTCTGTCTGGGTTAACAGCTCCTGCAGATTAGACCCTGGGGACAGGACAAGAGGTCAAGAGTGTGGTCGAGGTGTTAGTGGGCAAAACTGCATTTCCTTGGGAAAAATTATTTCAGATCTACCACAGAGATCCAAAGCAACTCAGGACGAGTCCCTTAAGGTGGAAATCCAGCCAATTTAGTTGCCTACATCCAAGAAAGAAATACAGCAATGCCACTCTGTGGGGAACCACCTAACCCTGGCCATGTCTAACTTGGCATCACCCACTATGGCTCTGGGACTGCAAGGTTCCCTCACCCAGGGACCCAAGCATGACCACAAGCCTCCTTCCAGCCTGGGAATCTAGGCCAGCACCTCCTGCCTCTGGTCTCTTTCATCCAGAGGTGAGGTCAAGCTGTAGGTGCTTAAACCTCGAGAGAAGCTCAGTCCCCAGACCTTTTCATACCAGCAGCACCAYGGTTAGGGTTAGACGGTGCCTGAGGAACAGCCTGGGATGCTGTTTTGTATCTCAGCCCTGTGRGTGCAGGCTCACTGACCTTGGGGGAGCTGGGCTCTCCTCCTCAGCCTCAAGACATTAAAGCCCATTTCTGCCCTCACACTTGGAGTTCCCACCACACCACTGGCTGATGTGGGGAAGCCAAGTCTGCCTGATGGGGAGCACAAGAGGGAGGGGAGGTGTGGAGTTCACTGGCTGTGGTCAGCTGGTGGGAGAGGTGKTCACAATCTCCCTCTTCATGTGCTTCAGCCCCTATTCCTCCCAAAGTTCCATCCCTGTCTTTTGGTATTCTCTGCTCTCTGCCTTCTCCTCCTGACGGTGTTTCATATCTCCTCTGCTGTCAGCATTGCACTGTTTCTCTCCCCAGAGTCTCTGGGATGAGTGTCTTCCTGCTCAGCAAATGTGTGAGCCCCCCTCCCGAGTCCTCCTCTTCTTCTGCTCCATTAGCCACTTCCAGCCCTGCTCCCTCCCTGGCTCTGCCCCAGCTCTTGCTTACAAATATTAGGATATGTATGATTTGCTTGCTGCACGACTCCTTTATCAATCTTCCAGCCCTGTGCTCGTTTAATTTAGAGCATAAGCTCCCCTGGGGCACGGGGCCATGTCCTTTGTTTTAATCTTCTAAAGCACTTTGCCCAGTCTAGTGCTTCACCAATCTTCCTTAAAAGTATCAAGAAATATTGATTGTTGGTGCATACCRAGTGAGCACTGAGGGCAAGTGTACCCTGCCCTTGCAGGTAGAGGGACTCAGGAGACAAAAACAGCAGTGGCTGCATCCTCTTCAGTGCTGTGGTGGAGCAGGAGAAAACACCACGAAATAGTCCTCTTTGAAGCCTGAGTCATGTCCCACTACAACAATGGCAACAATGTGTTTGAGACTCAAGTCACTCTCTGCCTCCTGGAGAACTGCAGGCCCTCCATRTCCAATATGTTGCAGCAACTGTCCCCAAACTGGAGAGCCACCACTTTCCAAATGTCTGGGATAATGGCAGCTCTGCAGACGGTGCCCTTCTGTGGCAGAGCATTCCTTGTCCAAGTCTTTGCAGTGATTTTTCAAAGCAGCATTTGTTTCAGACAAGAAGTTTGTGGTGTACTTAAAGCTACAGAACCAATTGCAGCCTGGGATTTGGTCAGCAATTATTCCAACAGATGACAGCCAGATCTCCCACTGACATAATCAAATCCACACATAAGAGTGGCAACAACTGCTTTGAACGTGCACAGGCTGCTTTGCTGAGAAGCTCTTATTTGAAAATGTGGCCTTAGAACTTTTGCTCTTAATAACTGCATTTTTGTGTCAGTATCCAGCAAAACCAGAATGGACACATGAGTCTCATGCTGAGTTCCCTTTGTTTTCCAGCAAGGGGAYTGATGTATTTCAATAGCTGTAAGCAACTTGAGTTGTAAAGGATTGTTTGTACAGGGCAAGAGAAGAAAGAGATGGGCTGTGCTACCTCAGAGTTGTGGCATGTTCTGTGGGACAAATGGGCTAATGGAAGTTGTCTGAGGAATAGGAACTGGATCCATCCCACCCTGACAAAGCTGTGAAAGGAATCAGCTCYTGCAGGGTGTTCCTACTGCCCTTGAAGAGATGTGGATATCTCAAGAGCAGAGCATCCCTTATGTCCACCATCCCTGCGCTAGACCTTAAAGGCAATCTCAAGTAATCCTCTTCTTTTCCAACACAACAAAGTTACATAGGGTCAGCCTGTGCCTACATTGCTTCAGGGGTTTCTGGGCTGCATGTTTGCCTCCCTCCCCAGCAGTCAGCCATGTCCTGTGTGAGTGGAGCACAAGGAGATAGGTGCTGTTGCTACTGCTTGGAGGTACCTTTGGGCAGACCTTTGCATGTATAGGACCATGCAGCTGCCTGTGGCAAAATCAGACATTGAGCATGACCTGTCCTGTTGTGGTGCCAGTCTCTTCATTGGCCAAGACTTGAATAGAGCAATGTGAAGTCTTGTCACATCTGGATGGAACTTGTAGACRTGTTTAAGTGATGTGACTAAAATACAACACACACATTGCAGCAGGAGGGGCTGCTTGTTGAAATTTAAAGAGTGTTTTTTGTGTAGGAAGTACAGTCTCGGCTTTTCAATGCTCCCAGCAGGGGGTGCAGCATTTAGCTAGAATTTGCAAGGGAGCCTTGCATTTCTTAGAACTTGCCACTTATTTTGTCAAAGAGTGCTTGAGAGCCTCCATGGTTTGAGGTGAAATTCTCCTGTGCTGACACAGGGCAGGTGCAGGGAAAAGCCTCCAGCTCAGCCAGAGTGGAGGGCAGAAGGATTTCCATCACCCAGAGTCTCACCACATCTCCCAAGCTGCTCCTTCTCGTTGTGTGGGCAGCTGGTTTCCTTCCAGGAGAAAGGTTCCTGGCCTGTTTTGGCATCCAAAAATCCATCTGTCTTGAAGATTGAGAGTCTTGTTTTTTAAACTGGTAATGTCAGACAGCCTGACCACAGCATCCTCCAAGAGTAGACCCAAGCTGTAATTTGGGAAACTTTAAAGCTTACTGGATTTCTGTTTGTGTGTTAGGAAACGGCCTGCCCTTTCCAGTGCTGCTGCTAGTGAAGTTGCAAGGCTGGTGAGATTGTGGAGAAGCTGTCAGTTCCCTTGGTGGGAAGGAGGGGCCCCTGTTTCTGAGTGTTTTAGATGCAGAGGTGTAGCAGGAGGGGCTAAGAGAGCTCTGGGAGGAGTGGAGGGCTGTTAACACTGCTGGAAAAAAAAGAGTCACTTGTTAAATGTCAGGTGGTACCCAACAAGGAGTAGCACCTTAAATATGACTCACTGCTGAAACTCTCAGCCTGCCTAGGGAAGCAAATTCTCCCAACAAAGTGGATGTTGTTCCCTAAAACACAAGCCCTTTAAAAGGAAGAAAAAAAACGAAAGAATGAGAAACAGATGAGGAGGGTTTAGGCAGGGGGAAAATCAAATTTTTCTGGTTAATTAATCACTCCTTATGTGTTTTTTTTTATTTTAGTTTGAGGGTTGCTCCAAAGCCTATTCCCGCCTGGAGAACTTAAAGACACACCTGAGGTCSCACACTGGAGAAAAACCTTATGTCTGTGAGCACGAAGGCTGCAATAAAGCCTTTTCCAATGCCTCAGACAGAGCCAAGCACCAGAACAGGACACATTCCAATGAGGTAAGCCTGGGCTCACCACAGCTCAACGGAGGGCTTTTTTAAAAATTTTGCTGACAATAAACATACACTTTACACACTGGACTCATGTAAAAAGAAACCTACTGTAATGAGAGGTTTATCTTATTTTTTAATGGGATTTATTTTGTTGGGGAGCCAGACCACATTAGCTTTATATTTATGAAAGCTGTGGTTGAAATCATAAACAGATGTTAAAGTATGCAAACTTTTTAATCGACTTTGAAAATTAAAGCAAGCATTTTCCAAATTTATAATTTTTAATAGCACAGGCAGTATTGTACAGTTGTGCAAGTGGTGTTTAATATTACTGTGGAGCAGACTTGCAGTAATATAAGAGCTACCCTGGATCCTGATGCTCTGGAAATAACACTCCCTCCATCGTTTGATGTACAATGATAGAGCACAATGCAATGCTTTGTTAACCTTGGATAATTAAGACCCACTATTAGTAGTTGGGGAGCAGAGGAAATTGCCTTTATTGTAACGCATGTGATGGTCTGTTGCAATCAACCAGGGCCGACGATTGAAATTTATATTACCACTAATTAGCTGACAGGGGAAGAAAAAACAACACTCTAAAGTTCTAATAGTGTTTTCAGCCATGAAGAATTCAGTCTGTAGCCTAATTTGCAATAGTTAAATATAGACTATTGGAGAATGGAACACAGTTGCCASGGTTGACAGCCTTTTGAAGCGATGCTGTCTACAAAGGACTTGTTGGGAGTATTTTTATCTCCGGCATAGTATCAGTCACTGATAACCAAAGCTCTGTAGGTTTCGGATATTGTTTTTGAGTCAGAATAAGGATTCAAAGTCTAGAATCCTCTTCCATGCTGAGATGGGCCCGATGGATGAGCAGGATCCCAGTTTTGTTTGAATTGGTTTGGGTATGAACCCAAACGTCAGGATTGTTCTCCACCAGCAAGRCACAGTTTTAAATTAATCCATATCCACATTTAAACTGGAGAGTTTGGGGTTGTTTGAAGGCTACACCAACCTTGAGGCCAGAAGGGACCAAAAAAGATAGGTTGCAACCTCTTGTCTGCTCAGCATCTTGCATTCCCAGCCAGGTGTTTGACTGCATCATTTTTCTATGTTAAAGCTTCTTGTCATGAAAGGTAGGCAGTTCTGGTTTAATCTCACATTTTAGGTGTTGGAAATTGCTTGTTCTCCAGCCCTGGGCGCTATCTCTGCTTTCCTTCAGTGCTGGATCCAGTGTCCCTTTCATTGTTGATATTTCCACCTCTTAATTTTTCAGTGTCAAGCCACTCTCCATATTCTCACTCACAAGCTGAATAAATCAATCAAGCCACTGAAGATTCACATTTCTGCAGCATTTTTTCCTGTCTTAAAGGAACTTTGTATGTCTCTCCAGTTCCTGAGGATTCTCATGTGAATGGATCAGGACTGCTGATCAGCTGTCAGTGCTGGATAGAGACTCACTCAGCCCAGTCTGTGCACACTGACAGTATGTGAGCAACTTTTTTGCCTATAGATCACTTGAGCTCAGATCCCAGGAGCTTTACCAGGAACTTTTCTAGGCAGGGCCGTTTCCCATTTGTTGAGCCAGCTAATGTCCCATGTCCCTACACGTGGAATTTTCATTTTGAATGTGTTAGTAAATACCATTTCTCCAATGGGTTCAGATTCCCAAGTGATCCAGATCAGGAGCTGCACTGGATCTGGGATGACTCCTCACTTCATCTGAGCAGAGCTTGAACACACTTGAAAGTCAGATCATTTGGGTTCCCCTTGTGTGAGAAGGTGAGGCTGCAGGGCAGGAGCATCCAGCTCCGTGTCTCTGGTGGACCCTGATAAATGCGCTGACATTTAGTACAAGCTGCTTTCAACAACACAGAGTCAGATAAGAGACAGGGATTTTATCCTGTGCAGTTGCTTCCCCTGAAGGACACCAAAGCCTTCTCAGGTGTAGGAATAGCACAGGCACGAGTGGAGGATTTGTTCCAGACCAGCTGACCTTGCCACAGGAAGCACTGCCACTGTCCAAATGACCTTACATTTTGCGGTCATGCTCGCTCTTGAACTGCTGTTCAACCCTCCTTGATGCAGTACAGACACACCCCAAAGCTTATGGGAGATCTGTAGGCTGCATACGATGACTCTCTCTCTGGGCCATATATTTGACACCCTCTTTTTGAGGAACATATGACACAATSCTTTACAACAGATGGCATCCCTCATGGCAAAGCTCATCACACTGGGCAGCGGGCCCAGGCGAGGGTCCTGCGTCCAGCTGTGGCCATGACCACTGGCTTAGCAAACTGTACTGAGACCTTGGCTCACAAAACCACACAAATGCAAAGCAGAAGTTTGTGGCTGTGAATATTTCCCATTATCCATTGGTAAGTCTATTGTGGTTCCTAGCTACCTTCTAAATATTTTCCTCTGCAGTGTTTACTTGGAATACACCAGTTTCAGTGTTAGTCATCCAAGTCTCCTCTAAGGGGGAAGTTCCAGGTTCCCTGTATTTGTCACCATCTTTGTGTGACAGGACGTAGGTGTATGGTCCAAACATGCTGAAGTTCAAGGCTAGGGATGTATTACCACACTGGCTTGTGTTTGATTGTTGAAATGTCACACAATTTCCTTTTAAACTTTCAGTCACTATTTGAATCCCTTCAGGGGATACTTTAAAAGTTACTCCTTGGCAAAGGGCTTTCATCCTKTGACCTCTCTCCAGTGCATACACAGAGGAGTGGCGTGAGTTCATGGCCAGCCAAAGACTCAGAGTGACATTTTCAGCAGCTCAAGCTGAACAAGGGTAAAATGCATAAATCCAGTTCTGCTTAGTGCTTGGGGAGTTCTCTAGTTCTCCCACCCTAATGAGTATTACCCTGAATGTGCATGAGAGTAGGAAGGGAAGATTCTGAGATATCTAAGCTCTGGACTTCACTAGGGTGAAGATGTCTCTGGATGTTAAAATYTGGATAACCAGGGGATCAATGAAGRCRYGCCAASAAAGCAGTAGTTGTGCTCAGCTCAGTTGCAGGGGGAATGGCCTGATGAAGAGGGTGATTGAATACCCTTAGGTGGGGTGTCTGCTGTCCAAGCAACAGTGATCATGTTATCTTAATTGCTGGGGTCTGAAAATTCAGAACTGTTGAGCCCAAAGGGCCTTTATRAAAAATCGAGCTGTTCTTATGCAGGTTTTTTTTCAGCACATGTGGCASGGGTTCTGTTCTTTGTAATAGAGTTTAATAGTAGCAATAATATTTCTATAATGCTTGTCCAAAAGGTTGCATGATATTTTTAAACAAACTATTTTAATTTTTATGCTTTGGTTCACCCAGCTTTAAAATATATTAAATATTTACCTCAGTGGGGTGTTACATAGATTTAGCTGGTTGGAGTGGTGTGCCAAGATCAGGCAGGAAGTCATTCATACTTTTGAATAAAAAACAGACTTTCAGTGTTTTTCATGTGATTATACTGGCTTGCTACAAAGAATATATACTCCTTTGTATTTTTTCACTTAAGTTCCTGGACAAAATTGCAAAACAGATAGAAAAAAAATTATAGGAATGGTCATTTTGGGTAGCCTTCAAATAACATCTGTCTATTTTTTTCTCACAGATCTATCCTAGTGCATTGGCAGAAAAATACATAGAGTAGTTGTGAGGCTGAAAGCGGAATTTGTGATGAATTCAGTTTGCAGCGCAGCAGCACCAGCTCAAACAACTGCAGTGCTAATACACTTTGGAATTGGCGACTCAAGAAAATAAAAAAAGTCAAAAGAATAAAAGTATCTGTTTGCTGACTTCTGTTTTCAGAAGCATGGCTTCAGCCTTGTTTTCCTATGGCAATCAATGATTCATGAATTCAGGATAGGGTGCTGTCATCTGAAAAAAAACATCGCATGCCTGTGGCTTGTTTTGCACAATAACAGATTTCAAGGTGACAGGTGCTGGAGTGGTATGATAGATTGAGTAGGGTGAATCCAGTCTGGCTTGAATTCACTGGAATTCCATCAGCCAAAAGGTTCCAGACATTTTCTTGGTGTAGACCCCACCTTAGCAGAGTGAATGTGTTATGCCCAGTCCGCTACATCACCTCCCTCCCATCCTTAATCAGGAAACATTCCTGTGGCCACCCAAGCAAATACATACACGGGAAAGTAATACTAGGAAAGTATTTCATGAATTCTTAATTCTCTTTTGATCCAGAAACTGAAAACAAGAAGTTAGGCCAACGTGAAATGACCAGCCAAGTCTGTGTGGATCAACAGCAGCCCATACATCAAATCTTCCATATCTCAGTCCTGTGGAGCAGATGCTCCACATTTTGCTGCTGCCTGCTGCTATGCTCATTGTATTTTCTTGGCCTGTACACTGAACCTGGAATATTTGGTTTTATTCTAAATATAACCCAGGATTTGCTCGTATTGACAGAAACCCTACGTCTGTAAAATCCCTGGCTGCACGAAGCGGTACACGGACCCCAGCTCCCTCAGGAAACACGTCAAGACGGTGCACGGGCCTGACGCTCACGTCACCAAGAAGCAGCGCAATGACGTTCACCCGAGGCCACCTCCGCTCAAGGAGAATGGGGACAATGAGGCGAGCGCCAAGCAGAGCAGCAAGGTTTCAGAGGAGAGCCCCGAGGCCAACAGCACCACGAGGAGCATGGARGATTGCTTACAAGTCAAAACTATTAAAACGGAGAATTCTGTGGTAAGAGCAGTTGTTTTTGGCAGAAATGATGAGCTTCCTTATCTCTCTGATGCAATAGGGGCATGAAGCATTTGTATGCCATTTACCTCTCGGGGCAGGTACCCTTCAACCCCAGAGTTCAAGTCCAGAAATGAATCTGCAGGTCAGGGCACAGTCCAGGACATTTTTCACCTTCCTACTCAGCATCATAAATTCCTGCCCTTGTAGTCATGGGGGTGGTGTGATGCCCGTGCTGAACTTGGCRTTCCTGTGCTTTGGAAGTGGGTGAAACCCAAGAGTGCTGTGGTCAAATGAGCTTTACCTACCTCACCCATTTAGATTGAAAGACAACCATAGGGCATGGATTGATGAACACTCCCAGCTGCCATAGAAAATTGTGGCAGGACAATGGGGCAGGGGTGTGAATCTAGGAACAAACATGGGAGCAGTGCTGTGGCTCACTGAGTGCAGACTGTCACTCAGCCATGACCAGGCTTTACAGCTCCRTGAGTGGCCACCAACTGAAGCCAAGACCATTTATCAGTTTTCTGGCCATTACAGCAGCTCCACAGTCAGCACTAGTGTGGTCAGTGGCACTGAGGAACTGTGTACAGTGATGGGTTCAAACACATAGAGCCTCTTCTACACCCAAGCAGGGTGGAGGAGGAGATGGAGCATTGCAACACACAGATCACTTTTGGTTTTTGATGCTTCTTTTCACCTTTGTACCCAAAGTTCTGGTCTGCTGCATCAGCTCCGAGTGGGACAGGGTATGGGCTGGATACAGAAGGAAAGACCTTCACCTGCAAAGGAGTGTTCTCATATTCCCCAGACGTCCCACTAGAGCTGAAAGGACTTTGAGCTCCAAAATACGTGTTTTCTTGATTTGAATCCAGGCTAAAAGATTGTTATTCCTGTGAAAAACATGCCCTGGAGGTACAAAGATTTTCTCAGAAGGGTTAGGGGATGTRTTGTTGGACAAATTACTAACGAGCAGCATGTTTCAGTTAGGAAAAAATTTAAGTACTTACACATCCAGAATGTCTCTAATTGACTAAAGAAGCAGTTCACTGTGATGAGGCTCTGAACTGTCTTAAAAAAGCTGAGTGTGAGAACCACTGGACAGAATGACCTTTCYCCAGTACTCTTCCTCCATGTGTTTTATTGTTTTTTTCCTATGAAAACACTGACACAATTACAGCTCCCCACCCTGTTTCTCCTGAAGGTAGGGAGTTGTTTCCCTAGCACTCTGTGCTCCCAGGGTTCCAGCCAAGCCATCTGACTGGGTCATGTGTTTCCCTTCATGGTCCYTCTCTARCACCTCATACTTCACTGGTGCACAYCTCGCAGGTGGCATCTGCTCTGGTGGGTCCACATCCAGCTCCTCTTTCCGGGTTAAGGTGCGGTGGTGGGAGGGGTGAGATGCTTCACTGGTTCCCATTGTTCCCAGGCTCCTTGTTTTGACCCATCCTTTTGTGTAACCCCAAACCCATGGAAACAGGTGGGAAGTCTCTCCTATTTATTGTGCTCCTGAAGAGGGAAGGCAGGGAAGATGGGAATGGGAGTGGGGGCTATGTTGGCAATTTGTGCTGTATTCTGCATTTCCCTCTTCCTCCTTTTACTAACATGGTCCTTTTTGTAAATGCTGTCTTTGTCCTAACAACCTGTTCTTTATTCCCACTTACCCTTCCTTACTCTACCTTCCTAAGGACAGTCGGTACTAAGGTGAGCAGAGAAATCCTTTGTATTAAAATAGCTGTATAAAGCATGATCTGCAGACCTCTGTCTGCATTTGACCCCCACAGGGTGGAAGTGTGTGGGGCAGTGGGGAGGGATAGGGGAGATTTGCTTGGGTGCAGAAAGGGGGAARATGCGGTGCCCAAGGATTCCCTTTGCCACCTTTCTCCCATCATCACAACTTGCTGTTAAATCTTGGGATTGCAATCTCTATCATCTGGATTGAGGAACAGTCAGAGACAGTCAACCCCGCCCATGGGGGGCTGCTGTGGAGTAAAGTAAAAAAAATGYAGCACCCTGCATTCCCTCCTTGGCCCAGGGCAGAGCACGTTGCCTTTTCAGCACACCCATTTTCTTTGGAGCATGGTCCTGGAGCAGAAAAGCCAGGCATCCTGTTTGGTAGCAGCAGCAGAGCAAGTTCAGACTGTATAGTGTCTGCGGCAAATAAACTACTCAATGTGAGTAGTTTACATTCCTAAYGTAAATAAAATAAATATTTATGGTGCTTATCTACCTTATCTGCAAGTGGGAGTTTGCAAACAGTTGAACCAGGTTTTTATCTGGCAGGGAAGTTTGTCAGCTAGCCTAATTATATGTTAGGATATTTTAAAGACAAAAATACRTTGTGTCTGAAATCCTAAGGCCTTGATCCCATGTCAGATAAGCTGGTGTTTGCTGCAATATACCTTACACAACCAGGTGAGGTGCTGCTTTTCTTCGAGAAACATCTGTCCTTCTTTTGAAGGAAGAGCATTTGGTTTCTCTCCATCTTGCAGTTGAATCACCGTAGTTTTTCCAGCTGTGGAGTGCTGTCCCAGCCTCCTCTCACAGGGAAGGGGCATCTGCCTTTTGGAAGAGCTGAGATCCTGCAGCAGGGAGGGGTAACAAGAAAGAGGAGAGCCTAGGATAGGAGCTCTCCTAGGCTCCAGGACAAATGCTGGGGCTCCTGATTTTTTTTCTGTCCATGTTTTCACCTGCCCAACTCTTTTTCCTCTTTTCCCTGCCCAAGATGTGTCAGTCCAGTCCTGGTGGCCAGTCGTCATGCAGCAGTGAGCCATCACCCCTTGGCAGCACCAACAACAATGACAGTGGAGTAGAAATGAACATGCACAGCGGGGGAAGTCTGGGAGATCTGACGGCGTTGGATGACARCGCTCCTGTCGTGGACTCAACGGTCTCATCTGGTAACTCGGCAGTCAGCCTGCAGCTGAGGAAACACATGACGACGATGCAACGACTTGAACAGCTCAAGAAAGAGAAACTCAAGACAGTTAAGGATTCCTGCTCATGGGTGAGCCCAGCTCCACAAGCCAGAAACACCAAGCTGCCTCCCATCTCAGGCAATGGTAAGCCCTGGGCCTGGACCCTATCTGGTAAGAATCTTCCAGAGTTTGACTCTGGTTTCATAACCAAGAGTCTGCCCTGGAGGAATTAGGATCATTTCTTACTGCCTCTGAGTCAGGCTTTGCTAGATAAAGATGTCAGGTAAAATGGATAGCTTGGGTATAATCACAGCCATCTGGTGATGTGCAACAGAAACCCAGGGGCTCAGCTCTGCAGCTCAGTTCTGTCTGTGAGAGGAGACAGAGGTGTTGGTATCCTTGTTTCTGGGCCTGCMCAGACACAGCTGTCCTCTGTCCCAGTCACAGCCACAAGACTGCTTGCATTCCTTCCAGCARTAACAGTTCCCCCAGGGGCTGATATGCCTCCTGGGAGACCACAGGAGCACAGCAGCAATCCAGACAAGACCTCCCTCCATAATCTTGCTCTGACAGGCCTTTTGTCACTTCAGAAGCTCCTGGCTGTTGCCTCCAGCTTCATTTGCTAGTTTCCCACTGGTTGGTGATTCCTGGTAAAAGCATCTTTATGAACCCTCCAGAGATCCTCTAACTTTGCCAGCAAGTCCCCAGGCATAGTGCCTGGATTATACTAGATCTCAGAGCTTTTTGGGTTACTCTTGGGAGAGCCTTTGAATGTCAGCCTTTTGGCGCTCAGCCTGCTGTCCCTGGCTGTTGTGCATCTGCCAGAGAGCAGTTGTTGTAGCTGTGTGCTGTCCCTGTGGCACTGTTCACACCAGTCCTACCTTTGTCCTACTGTGGGAAGCCCTTATGGAGACATTTCCTCAGAAGCTGAGTATAAGGAGTATACATGTTACAAAGATTGCAGCTGACTTCTCTCCCTGCCAGACTTCTTGCTCCCTTTGCATGAACATAGAGCTGGAAATGAAGCATTGAATTCACTAGCAGCAAATTAAACTCACCACACTGCCATGAAGTATTTGGGGGTGGCTTTGTGGGTCTGTATTCTGGCACCAAGAGCACTACGAAGTGCAATTTCTCAGCTAACTAAGCCTTTTCCTTCCCTTCAACCTTTCAGGCTCTGTTCTAGAAAACAGTGGTGGTTCTTCTGCTATGCTGCCTAACCCCAGAATAATGGAGCTGTCTGTCAACGAGGTCACGATGCTGAACMAGCTCAACGAGCGCCGTGACAGCACAACAAGCACCGTCAGCTCTGCCTACACCGTCAGCCGCCGCTCGTCGGGGATCTCCCCGTACTTCTCCAGCCGCCGTTCCAGCGAGGCTTCGCATCTCGGGCACCGCCCCAATAACACGAGCTCTGCYGACTCCTACGACCCCATCTCCACGGATGCCTCGCGCCGCTCGAGCGAGGCGAGCCAGTGCAGCGGGATGCCGGGTCTGCTGAACCTCACACCAGCTCAGCACTACAGGCTGAAAGCCAAGTACGCTGCTGCCACGGGGGGCCCTCCTCCCACCCCCCTGCCAAACATGGAGAGGATGACCCTGAAGAACAGGATCTCACTTATGGATGGACCAGATCCCACCTTGCCCTCCATCCGCCTCCCACCAGGCCCCAGGCGCTGCAGCGATGGTAACACCTATGGCTACCCATCAGCTCCAACATTTCCCCACGAGGTGCAGGGCAACTGCACGAGGCGGGCAAGTGACCCGGTGAGGAGACCTCCAGGAGACCCCCAGGCTCTCCCACGAGTTCACCGCTTCAACAGCACCAACAGCGTGAACCCCTTCCATGCTCCACACCCCACAGACAGGAGGAATTTCGGTCTCCAGAGCTACGGGCGCTCCGATGGGAACCTGCCCCGGCACACCTACTCACCCCGACCGCTGAGCATCAGTGAAAACATCGCCATGGAAGCCATGTCCGCGGAGACGGACACGCCCATCGGAGACGACGACATCGTGCTGCCGGATGACGTGGTGCAGTACATCAAATCCCAGAGCAATGGGGCAGCGGCCGAGAGCACTTCCATGGGGTACAGCAATGAGATGCAGAACTTCCAAGGAAGTGGGAAGCTGCAGCCTCCAGCCTTGCCCAGCCAGCGCAGGATGGCRGTGGCTGAGGCAAGCATGAGCCACTTGGGACCCATGATGGCAGAGTGTTCCGTGAGTTTTGATACTTCTTCAGACATGAATAAAAATAACATGCCTGTGCAGTGGAATGAAGTCAGCTCAGGCACAGTTGATATCATGTCCAATCAGTCAAAGCAGCAGTTTTCACAAGGGAATTTAGCCGTGGTCCAGCAGAAGCAGAACTTTGGTCAGTACCAGAACTACAACCAGCAGCAGATGCAGCTGCCAGACAACAGCATGAATGTACCACAGCAGAGCTTTATGCAGAGAAACGTGGGCATGGATGGGCAGAGACTCAACTGCATGCAGCTGCGGCAGCAGCCCATGGGCCTGGGCCCCAGCACGAATCCCGAAATGGGCTTGCACACAGGGTACAACCAGCCTCATCAGATGCTGAGCCCCAGTGCAATCACTAACAACCCAAATCAGATGTCTCCTAACTGTAGCAACATGGCAGCAAAGTCGGGACCCCACCTTCACCCTCAGCAAATGGACATGGCGACCGACCCTTCTTTGATGGTCAGGAGCAGCAGTGAGCGCACAGTGCTGGGACAGGTCATGCACGAACCGAGTCAGCAGAACTACTCATCTCAGCCAAGCCACCTGAATTTCCCCATGGCTCAGGAGAGCTTTCCTCAGCCCATCATGGCCTCCAATCAGCCCGGATTCGAGGCTCAGCAGAGCGTGATGGGTTCAGCTGCGCAGGCGTATCCGCCCGGCATGATCCAGCCTCGCCCTCCCGCCGAGCCAAACCCGGGCAGCAGAGCCCGAGGGCTCCGCACTGCCCAGCAGCTGGGCTACATGAGAGCTGCCCAGGCTACCAACACCGCCAGCCCGGCCCAGGACACCATGGAGGCCATGCATAAAAGAAACAATGACATGTTGCTGGCACCAGCCCAGCAGTGCACGGACGGCACGAGGGACAACAGCTTGATGTACTACTACGGCCAAATCCACATGTACGAGCAGAACAGCGGCTTCGATAACCACGCGGACTGTCGGGTCAGGCAGCAGCAGTGCGCACAAAGCAGCAAGCCGGCCACTCTGCCTTCCCCAGGAACGAACCAGGTGTCCAGCACAGTGGACTCTCAAGGTCTTGAGCCGCCCCAGATAGATTTTGATGCCATCATGGACGATGGGGACCATTCAAGCCTGATGTCGGGAACCCTGAGCCCCAGCATCCTGCAGAACCTCTCCCAGAACTCCTCTCGCCTGACGACTCCACGAAACTCTCTGACACTGCCCACCATACCTGCGGGGATAAGCAATATGGCAATAGGTGATATGAGCTCCATGCTAACCACSCTGGCGGAAGAGAGTAAATTTCTAAACATGATGTCGTAACGGTAAAGCACAAGGCCTTGGTGCTATCCAAGGGGCTCTGCGTGAAGCAGTTGTATGAATGTGCTTTTCAAAAATAATGTTTCAATAGAGTAGGGTTTTTTATAAGTGTTAAATACATTAAAGGATTTCAAAATGAAAATTTTTAAAAGTCTGTGTACAGAATTATGTAAACTATATGCAGGCAGTTCAGTACCACAAGGGTGCTCCTCTASTATTATTTCTTTGGCTTGGTCTCCCGGAGCATTGAACAGTATCACCACCAAGCTAGGAGACAGCATGAGGGTGATTACAGATGAAACGCTGCCTTCCAGGAAGCCCTGTAAATAGCACTCCCCATCATTTTCCGTTACTTGCATTTGCAAAAAAATTCCGTTTTCAACCTGCCCCAGAAAGAAATGGGAGGATGCGGTTTTGGTTAGAATAAAAGCCATACTATGTATTCTGCTCTGATGAGAGTAGGATTTAGTTAGGTCTCCAAACCAGCCTTCTGCCAGCAGTATTGTTTTATACCGTAAATACCTTTGTACCTTGCAAAGAGCAATGATTCCAAACRGCTTCTCAGCAAAGTGCCTTACCATGCTTTCTTGTTAAGTAGCCAAGGCCTCTCTTCCTTTAAAAATCAAATATAGTGTATTGTCAGAAGCATATATAAAATGTACATTTATAAAAACATAGTGGTGTTTCTGAGAAAACATTGGAAAGACACATTGATGAGACACATAAAAGGTGAATGCACACTTTGATCAGATGTGTTTACAACGTGGTTTATATCATGTGCGGAGTGGAGCAGAGGCCTGGGAACAGCAATCACTGGGAAATAATCCCTTGTGGCAGGAAGGCTCTGGTGTGCAGGCTGACACACATGCATAACTTTGCACCTCCCGAGCACACTGACTTTTTCTGCGAGTGCCCCACATGCATCTTTAATGTCAGAGTGCTGGAGCACACATCGCCACATCCCGGTGCAGCTTTGCAGCAGCTTTGCTCTCTGGTGGGTTCTCCATGCTGAGGTGCTCCATATACAAGTGATGGTGATGGAGAGAGTTTTGAGATTGTTCCAGCCCAACGTGCATGGTGGCAGCACTGGGGGAGCAGGTTTATCTGTTATCTCCCCAGGGTTCATCTGTGTGATGTGCTCAGTGCAGGCTCTGCCTGGGCTACATGCACACAACAGGCACCTGGCTGCACTGATGTGGGGCCAAGCACGAGCCAGTACACCCTGCCCTACATGCAGGCTGGTTGGCATGCACCCACTGCCACATTCAAGTGTCCCACCGCATGAAAAARAATTGCTGTGTCCAAAAAATATAGCACAGTCAAGCCGGGCTGTTCATTTGACTAGCAGACTGCACCTGCAGCCTGCAGCACCTGCACGAGCAGACTGCACCTGCATCAACAAATGTCTCGATAGGCTCAAAACAGGTATTTGAGTGAGAATAGTAGCTTGGTCAGTGAGAATCTCTTGGAAGCATCATTGGGGAAGAGATGGGAGGAGCAGGGCCTCCAGAAGCCAAATGCTCCACTGGGATGTAACTGCACATAATAGTGATCATCTGTTTCCAGGACAGTCCCACCTGGGTACTGAAGTTAATCTTAGTTGAATTATTTATTTTTGCTGCCGTTAGACAAAAGGGTAGAAGCAGCAGGGTGCATGTACTTGGGAAGAGGCCTTGGTTAACTTCAGACTGTGATGGATGAGGACAGCTCTTCTCATCCTCCTCCCATCCCATAGCCTCAAACACTTTGTAACCCATATGTTGAAGGGCAGGGAACAGGTGTGACATCTCCCCCAGGTTCTTAGAGCTGGACTGAGTTAGCATCTGTAGAGCTTCACTCTCCTTCCCATGTCCCCATCATATCAGTGTGATGTTCTCATTTGCACCTGACCCCATCCCCTKCATGGCACCAGGACAGCTCTGTGAAGGTGCTTTCTGGTGTCTCTGCTTTCCTTTTGCACAAACTGATGTCAGGATCGCTCTTCCCAGCATGACCGGGGGCTGACAGGAACATGCCACGTGTTACCTCCRGGGAAGCTCTGAGATGTCAGATGGGCAGGAGCTGTGCTTGGCAGGGGTGGATCGGGACAGCTTTGCTGCCAGGTAGCCCTGGGTGTGGCTGGGGCAGGGAGGTGCTGCTCAGCATCCTGCAGTCACATCCATCCTCATCCCAAAAGCAGAGAGTGCACACTGGGTGCTCTCAGCCCTGCCCTTCAGCCTTCAATGACTCCTGCTGATGTCCAGGGTGCATGAGGACAGGGAAGCAAAGCAAGGTGCCCGGCTRTTTGTGTCTCCTGTGAAAGTTGTGTTTAAAGGGATTGTTTTATAGTCTGCTGTATATATTCTCCTGCAGTTACTGACCTTGCCCTTGCCTTTGCATTTATGAAAAGAGGGCAGAAAATGTTTTAGGACATTGTATGTTGTCCTGGATGCTTGGAATACAACTGGGCATCCCTTGTGCTGAGATGGATCGGGCTTTCRTGTGTCCTTCAACTGCTGATCTGATTTTTTTAACAGCTGCATAGGGCAACGATGGCTACTGGATCCCTCCTCATTAGCAAAAGTTCAAAAACAAAAGCAAAACCAAATCTTCAATGACTTGAGTTTTTTGGACTTTTCAGTGGTGGTCTTCCTTCATTTATTGAAAAAGTATTATAATAATCTTTCCAGCACTGTATATATTMTGTATAGAAGACATCATTACTAAAAGTACTGTAGGTGAATTGTTCTGTCAAATTTATATCTTAAGAACATTTTTAGCTGTTTTCTACATCATAAGAATGGAGGTAACATGCTGAACCTGTATATAAACCTTTTGTACATTAAAAAGTAATTTTTTTTCATAATTCATTGTGTCTGTTGTTACTTCTTTTTATAGGCAAATGGTTTTGGTCTGTCATTACTAACAGAGTCAGTTGGACTGTGGTGGTGCTTAGGGGCAGCTGGTGGAGGGGCTGGTGGGGCAGGGGTGTGTCACTGCACAGATGTGGAATGGTCTTCCCTTGAAGAGCCTCTTAACAGTGAGATGGAGGTGGCAGAAGGAGAGGCAGCAAGAGCAGGGTGTGCTGCAAGCACAGTCCTGCTGCCCAGGTGTGTTTCACTGCTTCTTGGCAGGGGTAATTTGAAGGATAATGGCAGCGCTGCAGGGAAAGTGCAGGAGAGGGGCTCAGAGCAAGGGCTGGASAAATTTGTCAACCAGGAGATTTATGGTAGAAATGGCTTGTTGACTGACTTGGTCATTGTCCAAAAGGAKACAGAAATAGGACAGATCAGCAGAGCTGTGATGGGCCTTGACAGTGGCAAATTGAATATTGGGTTTGGAGAAAGGAGAAATTAATCTGTGCATTATGTATGTGATGGGAAGCAATTATTGGGTGAGCAACTGATGGATACATCAGTTGTGATCTAGTTAGTCTCATCCAGCCCGCTGATGAGAAAGATTTCATTTGGCTGCAGCAAGAGTTAGCTCAGCTACTCCAGAGACTGATTTTCAACGTGTTTTTGTGGAGTTGGGCTGGTGTAGGCAGGGCTGGAGCCTTTATGAGGGTGAGGAGGTGTTCACGGGTGATCCTCATGGCAGAGCGATGASTTTGGAATGAAGGCTGTTGAGCAGAGCAGCAGGCCAGTGAAGCAGTGAATTACAGTTGTGTAATGAACCAGCAGTTGGTGCAGAAGGAACTGAAGGGGATGCACTCACTTTGCTCTCTGCAGGATCCCTCCGGAGCTGATTGGCACAATCAGGTAYGTGGAATCAGGTACATATGGGACAAATCCTCACCCTGTCTTTAGCATTCCTTCAAAGTCCACGGCAAGAGATTGCACATCCCTCCTGGGACATTAATCTTTCCTGTTTTAGACTCAGAATGGGATGGGCTTTCCTCTGAAGGACAGATGTCACTCTCCTCACTGAGAGTAGCCAGCTTAGGTGCCTCCTCCAGTGGGGTGAGATCAGTCCTGTGCTCCTGTGGATCTCTCACACCGATCTGGTCACCCTCASCATGACCTGAGGTTGAGTCAGTGAATGTGTTAATGATCCTGTTAGTCTGCAAATCCATTGGATAAATATCRCACCCCTCTGTACTGTCCAAGAAGTACAGAAATCACAATAAAAATGCACTAATATTGTTAAAAGTAAATTGTTCAGATCTTTTCTATTGACAAAAAGCTTTGGAGACTCAGATCAGCTCCTACTGCTTTCTATTTCAAACAAAGTAGGTTTCTAATCTAGATCAAATACTGCTCTTAGCTGGTGTTTCACTTTAGAGTTCAATCAGGGCACACCTCTGCCTGTGTGAGAACATATTTATTACTTAAACTGGGCTAAGATTTCCTGGGAGCCCACCTGAGGTCATGTACCAGCATGTGCATTTTTRCTGCTTCACCATCCTGGAATAAACAGGGAACGAAAGGCTCATTGCTCCAGTTGTAAGCGGGTAATAACCCTTCTGSAACAAATGTTGTTTATAAGCCAGAGCTTGGAGTTTATACTACTGTGGCAGCTGCATAATATTCAATTAACCTTCTTTTTAATCAATCATATCCCTTATGAAAACAATCCACCCTAACAGGTCTGATTCTGACCTTCTTTGGTGAGTGTTAACCTCACTCCACTCCCAAAACCAGTGGGAGCATAGGAAGGGTAAGATCCCACTCTGGGTGAAACCATCACAGCTCTTTAATATTGCACTAATATCTCAGGTTTTCCTGGAGGGGAGAAAAAAGCCCATAAAAGCTACTGTTGCTGGATCTTATTGCACTTAGCGAGTCCAGAGCCATTCCAGCAGCTCTTTATTGCAGTGGTCTCTGTAGGGATGACATAGGGGCTCTTGTTCTTTACGAGCTGTTGGATCTACTTGGAAGCGCATACGTGTTGTAAACAAATGGTGTGTTTTATATTATTGGAAGGACAATTTATGACCAACCAAGGCCTCTTGCAGACAGCCATTTAACTTGTAAGTAAAATGACCTAACGCTTAAGAAATTTAGAAGCTACAAAACAACCTATGCTGTGGCCAATACACTTATTTTTCTTTGATTTATGCTTCATGTAAAACTTGAAATGGCCATATTAAATATATTTGGGGTAAAAATAAAATTAAAAATAAGAACAAAGCGATGCTTTCACATATGCTTAGGGCTTGTGACTACTATAGCTTCCTCCAGTTGCACCAGCATTTCTGATTGATTACATGGGTYCCTCTGCCTCCCTATTTCCATTTTCCCCACGCTGACCTGTCAGGCAGATGGGTAGGGGGCATGGTGGCATGCCTGCTGTCACCTTTGGAAGAGCTGCTGCACACAACTACAGTGCACTTGCTGGAGACATCCCTCCAAGTGCCAATGGCTTACCAAAAAGCAAGCTCTGTGGCTGATAACTCTTTGTATCAGAGGCTGTTTTGCCCTCACACCTTCACCATCGTATGGAGGGTGGTATCAGCAGGGAGCAGAAGGCATGGCAACACCACAGAAGGCAGCTCCTGCACCAGGAAACGGGAATGTGCTACATAAATCTGRGATCTTCATTCCTCTGTCTTAACTCCTACTAAGTACAGCCCAGGGCAGTCTTCTTAGGAAAGGGATGCTTTAAGGAAGGACTTTGAAGAAGAAGCTTGGTCTGATGTTAYGAATGTCTTCTAAAGGACTCTCTTTCCCTTTCTCCACCCGCTGTACAGATAGAGAGTAGATGAAGACAACCTTCACAAATGTCCCCTCTCTCCCCTATCACAGTGTCTTTTCTGTTCCTCTTTGGGAAGGACCCCGGAGTGCTCTGCCCATACAAACACCTTYTCTGCCAGGCTTTGACAGACAGACAGTTGCATTTTTTGACTCAGGTGCACGAGGAACAGCTTTCCTGACACCTGCAGAGTGAATCATGCAGAAGAAGAACACACATTTCACAGCTGGATTTTGGCCAAAGCACCAAGGTTTGTGCTACAGTGTGGTGGTAGTGGTTAAAATAGATCAAATGARATGAGGAGAGCAGCAGGGAAGGAAGCAAAATTTTGGACAAAGCAGGGCTAATTTTCTTCACAGCTTTCTGTCTCCCACTGTCTTCCACGTGTATAATTCCATGGGCCATGAKGTGTAACTGGCCATGACAAAAACAAAACAAAGTGACTCTTGCAGGGCGAAAGAGAGATCTATTTTTGAGGAATTTAGATCTGTAGAGCTTCAMATAAAGGACTTTTGGAACAAGAGCACCATTTTTAGCTCTGTYACCTCTTTTGCCCACCACTGGGTTGAGCAGCCGTGCCCTGAAAAGGTGATGTGACCGGCGGCACTCAGAGAGCTCCTGCCACCTGGAAACCACTGTGACAGCAGTGACAGCAGCACAGCACAGCTGGGATGGATCCTTGGGAGCTGGGAAAGGTGCTCCAGCCCCAGGCCTGCAGTCTGTAGGTGGGCTGCCCCACCCTTTGGCAGCACCAGCATCCTGCCCTTGGCTGTAGAGCTCTGAGCAAAGGCACTCCCAGGCTCTGCAGCTCAGCCAAGCTGCAAGAAACAAACGTGCTGCTCCCTTTGTGCCACTGTTACCGGAGAGCAAGGACTTAAAATCTCCAGGGSCTTCACTGGGCCCCTTTTCCATCTGCAAAGCAGCTCTCTGAGAGGTACCTGCCTGCTGCACTTACCCATCTGATTGGCATCTGAGCAAAGTGTCTCCGCTGACTGAAAACTGATGTATTCTTTTTTYYTTTTTTTTTCTTTTGARCAAAACGTCTTGATGYGAATCGTTTAACCTCTGTGTCACTCATCAATAATGACGATAAGTGAAATTCGATGAAATGCACAGAGGATTAAACATCACTCCAGGCACTCTGAAAGAGGGCGGTGTAACCGGGTCTGGGAGATCTTAAGGAGGGGTGAGAAAATGGGTTTTGCTGTGCAGTCCAAAAGGTTGAACACCCTGTGGCACCAGCACCAGCTGAGGAGGGTGCTCCACGATGATCCTAATCACATCCTGAGGGCCAGTGAGTTTCCCTCCTTAGCAGCCATCCAAGAACCAAACAGGTCTCACCCTGCTCCAGGAGCTCTSAGGAAACGATCGCTTGTCTTAGCAATGTCAGGAGATTTGTCAGAGAATGTGAAAAATGTTTTCAGGGAATAGAAGCTGGGACTGAGCCAGGTGAAGGTTTCTACTTAATTGAAAAAAAAAAAAAAAAAAAATAGATCCCAGCATTTCCATCATTAACTGGAAACAAGTGGGAGCATTTTGAACGAATCAGTGGTTGTGTATGTGTTGAAAGCACCAGTGACACCAATGTACTTGAGAAGCTCTTTATAAGAAGAGAGCCAGCTTTGTGGTCATTGAGCACTTCCAAAAAAATGGTCTGTATTTGCCCAAATGACAAGGGAGATTTAAAATCTGAACCCATTCAAAAGCTTTCCCAAAATTYAACACATACTAAAAATACATCAACAACTTTATCCTCAAAATACCCCAAATCTAAACCTYGAATTTACAAGAGCATGGGGCTGAGACATGACTTCTCAAGTATTCTTGTAAAAAAAGTGACATCAAAAAGATTTTCAGCTAAACTATTATCTGCACATTTCTTCAATAATGTTTTAACTGTCATTTAAGTTTAAAAAAAAAAAAAAAGAAAAAGAAAAATTTAGTATGCAGAGAGCTGGGCTCGTTTAATCACAGGTGAATCAGTACCAGAAAAAGTCAAGTCTCTAAGGAGCTCACATGRAGTTGTTTTCCACTCCTGTTCTTTCTACAGAGTTTTTTCCCTTGCAGGAAGTTGGGGTTGAGCAGATCTCACAAAAGAAAAAGGTGTAAAATAAAGTCAGGGGCTGAGGGCCTTTTAGATTAACATCATC